AACGACTTTAACAACGATAATAACATATACTTATTATTTAACAATAACAAATTATTATTTGTTATTATATATGTTAGTAATAGCACTTCTGAATAGGTAGAGACAAAAATATTGAGCATTAGTTATTTTCCTTCAGTCTCCACGACCGATATGTATTCTATATGTATGTGTTTATACCAATTCTAACAATATTTCCTCAATATATATTCCCAAATTATGACTGATCTCTATACGTCTACTCACTACACATAGCATAAATAATGCGAGTAAAAATAAGTTTGTGGGCGGATTACTTTTGTATACTGTGTTGTAGTTTGTAATAGTTTTTGTTATAACTATAATCCCATCGCCAAAGAAAATATTGACCTTTCCTTAATGCTGAAGTAGGTACGAGATCAAATCATTTGAGTTGCATCAGAACTTATTAAAAGATTTGATGATTGATTTGATTTGATGATTCTTGCTTATAGTTCATTTTTTTTACGTCAAAAGGTGGCAAGCGATCTGGTGGTTCACCTGATGTTACGTAATAACCATCGCCCATGGACATTTGCAACGCACCTTCGGCTAGAAGATGCGCTCCGACCTTTTCAAAGTGGGCTCCGGTCACCCAACTCAGCAGATGAAACGCAGAAGTATAACACTTCCACTTCGCGCCGGTATCCCGTAAGGTCTTGGTACTTTCTCGTACGGGTCTGCCCATTCGTGCACCAGCGGTGACCGTTGCGTGGACCAACCACAGTTAAATTATTACTCTCAAGCGACCCGAGTTCTAAACCCAGAATCAATGAAAAATATATTTTATAAGTGCAATTTGTGTTTTTGTTATGTTTTCCACATGGTCGATATGTGAATTCTGCCGATAAATACGCGTGGCGGACTCTGCCGTAATACAATTTCTTTCAGTTTGTACTCTTACTTTTACTTTATTACTACATTTGAATTTAATTTCCCACAAAAAATATTTATCAGCATAATAATAAGTTAAATCTCACGCATATATCATAGTCATTCTATCAAATCTAAGCTGATAATGTTTTTAACGGTTTGTGCCGAGATACTAACATTGAGTGCTCAAGTATCAAGAATACAGACTGCGAACTGAGATCTAAGTTTCACTTATACTTAGTCTTGTTTTCTCTAACTTCGACCTGGCGCTGTTTTTCAAAAACAAAACCTGCCAAGTGCGAGTCGGATTCGCGCTCTATGGGTTCCGTACCAACGTCAAAACATCATGTCTGTTGTTTGTGAGCCCCACTAAATATTTTTGCGGCAACAGAAATACATTATTTGTGAAAATTTCACCTGTCTTATCTCTGTTCATAAAGACAGCGGAGTCTTAGTAAAGCACCCTATGTCCGGTTTTACCCTTTGGGTACTGAACTCTAATTAAGGTTTTACATGACAGATGACAAATTATCAATTAAAACTGCTTTTTTAGTTTCTATTTCCTTTAAAAACGTTGGAAAGCTAGTTTTTAGAAAAATTTGAGTTAGTATTTTTTCTTAGTCATTAAAATGATTAATTTATATTTGTCAGTTTTTCATTTCTTTTTTTTTATTTGAAATAGACACAGTATCTAGTAGGGTAAAAGAGAACTTTTAAGAAAATGAAAGTGTTGTTGAATTCGAAAAGTTATCCTTATGAACAATGGGTCGCCTACTATCATAGCTACTGTATTTTAGCAATTATACAAGCTCTCATGTGATTACTCTTTTCACCAATCTTAGATATTCTCAAAGATACAATGTCCAATTTTTTATTAATCAATGTTTTCGCATCCGTCAACTACCGACTTTCAAGGCTTCATCGAATGCAGAACAGGTTCTGCTAGCCAGGGCTAGCCAGAAGTTACTGGTCTATATCGGCCGCCCAGTTTGGGTAGAGCCGCGCCTGTGCTAATGCATGCGTTATCCCAATCGCGGGGAGAAGTGTCACCTACGGGCCATAGCCGTTGATTGCATTTAATTAATCGGTGGCTGGGGGCGGTGAGCACCGCCCACGAACGCGGGTGTACCTTGCATACGCGTTGTGCCATGCTAGTAGGCAAAGATGGACTAACAAGTTTTTTCATATCATGATATGTGTGTAGTGTTGTCGGGCTGGACCCCAAGTCACCACACAGATATACGTCACCGAATTTTTATCATCAATTTGCTACAACTAATCTATTTATTTTTGCATAATGTCTTAGCTGAAAATGCTCATGCCCAAGTGTAATGTTATTCAGCAAAATAAACGCTAACAAATACTTAGATCATTTTAAATCGATTACATTGTTGTTACCATTTATATATCGGTTCAGTTCTGAGATTTTGCAAAGGTTTCTCTATTATTTTACAACTTTCAAGTGTTATCACGTTCATTTTTAACCAGCATTTAATATGTCTTATGGATGTAAGACACCTGGAGAGTTCTGATAAGTGCCATAGATATTTGCAACATTGGTGTTTGTTTGTTGCCAAGCTTTAGAATGTTGTGCCTCGGGGTAGAAACATAAAGGTATTAAATGCGGCTCTTTTGCTTCAGCAGAATTGCTACGTGACTTACCATTGTTAAACTTCTAATGAATTTGGATACATGTAGTCGGCGATTTCGAGACAAATAACTGGCGTCGTTAACATCAGGTGACCTTCCCTCATAAAAAAGTATTATAAAGGCTAAGGCATTAAGGCTAAATACATTGTGCTGTTCACTTATAGTACCAGAAGAAAACCAAATGTCGTCGTGGTTAGCAAGCGTAAAGGAGAATGATCTAAAAAAGGTTTAACTAATCTGCTTAAAGCTTATTTTTTGTACTGCTCACATTTTACTCACAGGATCTGGATGTATTGTAATAGAAAGTAGGCGACGACCATGTATATTTATTATACTTTCCCTTTCCCGTCACTTAGCTAAAAGCCCTGATGCGCTTTAACAGTCCGATTATTTATGGTCAACAGATACAGGGTTCAGAATCTCGTCATACAGATTTCATTTTGTAAAGTTGGTTGGCATCGTCAAGTACGTAATGATAATCGTCAACTTACGTAAATTTAGTAATAATTATAAATATTTAGGACACCTTTTACAAAACGTTCTCTAATCCCAAACTAAGCGTTGCGAGCGTGGTCCAAACTAGCGTTTGGGATTAGAGGACTTTGTGTAAAAAGTATAGACCTTATGGGTACAAAGTAAATGATAAACATTTTCAAACACACTTTTCCTTTGTTAATAAATATATCTTCTAAATATATGTAAATACCCAGACACTGGAACGAAATTTAAACAAACTTTGCAATTAATGAAAATGTAAAGTTAATATAAAATCCAACAGTACCCTTTCCAACAACAAATTTATCAAAGATCTTCTTATTTTACACAATAGCACACTAAGAATCAATTAGTCTTGCATAGCTGTAACGTATTAAAGAGTATAACAATAAGCTTTCTATGTTCGATATTAAATAGATCAAAAGGTATTGGAAGTTTATCGAAAAGGTACTATTTATATGGATGTTCTACGCTTTAGAGTCGGATGCGGACGCGTCCCGCAAAAACTCGCAACTACGAATAAGCCGATGCGTCATACATTTGACCTATTAAAATTAATAATGACGTTGAAAAAAATACGTATTAGTTTTCCCAGAAATGTCAAGTACATCATGAACTTGGAACTTGTATTAATGGAATTGGATAGAGATTATATAGTTACGATAAGACCATTTGTTACCTTACACAATGCTTCATTGAATCATTTTTACTTTTACTTATTTCCATATCGTTTTTTTTTTTTTTTTCACTTTATTTAATTGTTTAAACACTGGTACGTTTTGTTTTGATTATTTACATTGGGAAATCAGTTTTGAACTACTTATCGTCTCACCATTTTAACTAGTCGACACATAAGACGAACGATATTTATATTTGTTTTTATATATAATTCATTTTTTATATTCCGTTACAGTGATACAGCAATTCTAAAATTTTTATATATATTGCTTACTTTCCTTAAATTCTTAAAATTCAAAATGTATGAAAATTAAATTTAAGTTTTAATTGTACATTATATTATATAAAACTTATTCGTGTCCATTAGAGAAATGAGTTTTATAGCTTTATCAATATAATGCCGCAAATCAACTGACAACATTACAATACCCTACGTTTCGATAAAGTAGTTTCTTTCTAAATTACACCTTTTTTATTATGCCGTCATTGAACGCAGTTTGGAGGTCACATGTCATCAAGCTGATTACAGAAATACGTAATAATGTGTAGACGAAAATGCTAACCTCAAATACGCATAGAAAAAAGTATACCTAATGATTCGAATAAATGTATTTACGTAGATGTTGATGACACACAAATGATTGATGACGACTTTGACATATTACAAAATACTCAAATTACGCCGGTATAATCACTCGGACACATTTTCTGAACATCAATAGTTATTTATTATCATGCCGTATATTCCCTGACAATATTAAAAGTTATTGTTATAAATTATAATAAACTTAAACTTTTCAAATATCTTGAAATTTGATTTCTATTAAACTATTTTCTCTGCCATCGGCCGTATCATTCATATCATTCATCGGTCGTATCATGGCCGTTTCATTTCATGTATTCAGGTAGCTTAAGGAAATGTAAACGGCAACAAAAATTAGGTAAATACTGAAAACGAAAGCGAATTCAGCTTACCTCTTGTAATGGTATTTCTTTGTTATATCCGATGCTTTATAGAGTACAATATTAACGGGGGCACTTTATACCAATCAAAATCAGTTTACACCTTTTCAGTTCACACTTCGCAGCAGTCAATTTTCACGCCCTTGTAACCACTGAACTGACTAAACAAAATTAAGCAGACCTTACAGACTGTTTAGCACGAATTGGGTACACAAACACATGTACATATGATGTATTTTTTATATATGTTCAAAAACTAATGTCACTCCGTGTGCCGTCAACAGCATCTCGGCTAGCGCGCATAGTCTGTGGTGGGACTCTGGTTAAGTGAGGTCGACAGCAAAGAGGTTGGATGCCACCCGTTCCATTTTACGGGCGCCGGCCAATCCGCGTTCCGTATTCAAATTCGGAACTGTCACCCGCGGTACTGACGGCGCGTGTGCGCACGCGCGGCCGTGTGAGCGTGTGCTGCGCGCGGGCATCGGCGCCACACTGCCTTCGCGCGCTTTCCGTTCCACGGGACCCGCAGCCTCCGACGCTAGAATAGGATGTGTTAGAGCACGGCCACGCGGGCTACTAATCGAGATTTAGATAATGCGTGTCGCAATTCACGCTGACTGATTCGTCCGCGGAGCAGCTAGGCTCTCGCGGGATCGCCGCGTAACCCTTAACAGACAAGTCGGACGCTTTTTAATGTCAATGAATTTTTATAATTCAACATCGAGCCACATATTAATATAGCACGGATAGCAACTAAATACACTATTGATTTACACGGTCAATATGAGCGATATCATAAAACTGCTTTAAGGGATTTTTCGATATGTTTCACTATATTTACTTATTACTGCTAGGCCCAATAATCCTCTATAACCTCTCCTACAAATCCAATTCATGTTAAAAGCTTATTAACGTGAAATAATGAAATTTAATAGGATATATCTAGATATATATAAGGTCAACTTACATCGCATTCCTCAACAATTATTGGCCTTTTTAGAATATTCCGGTCCGGCGCAAACGATTTTCCCACGGAGGGGAAAGACGTATTAGCCGACCGCTCCAAACATCATTGCTGACTGATGCTGATGACGGCCCACAGTTTTGTTTTCGTTTTGACGTTTGAAACGTAACGTTTTGTTTTTTTTTTTCGAAACGGGATTACCCGATGGATTATGAATGCCGTGGTTTTATGGAGCGTGTTCAATCGATGACGCTTTTTGTTCTTAAGAAGACTGATCTACTTAACAGCTTTAACAGCGTTTTTTTGTATGTTTCGTTGTAATAACATAAAACATCACGTTAAGTTGCAAATGTGCTGTGGAATTTTATTGTTCGTTAACAGTAAATTTTTATATGAGTTATAAGCAATATGTTTTCAGCATAGAAATATGTTAAAGTGAGGCTCCCATAAAATAAACATGATTTTTGCCGTTTTGTAGATAATGGTAATAAACCCTTCGTGCGTGGGTTCGACTTGCACGTGGCCGGCTTTAATTTATGTTTGTTACCTCACAACTCTGTCATTTATGAACCGATTTTAAAAAGTCTCTTTGCCAAATCCCGTTTAAAAATCCCATATTAATATCATTAGTAGTGTACATGGGACTCCAAAAATACATCTGTGGAATATAGATAAAAATAAAATGGAAAATTTATAATAGTGACTGAGACATTAGCCAGTCATGGTCTCTCTCTCTTTTCCTCTCTTCTCTCTCTTTGCTGTATGTCCCACATAGAAGTGGGGTCAGCTTCCCTTATTGTTCATCTCCACTTAGCTCTATCATCGACACAGTCATCGGACACTTCAAACCCTACCATGTCCCTTAGCACTACATCTTAACCTGAAATAACTTGATTGATCATGATCTGATGTTTTAAAATGCAGCAAATTCTTAACGTAACAAATTATTCTCGATTTCTTTTTTTTTTTTCAAATTATTCATACTATTTTTTATTTTTTATTAATGATTTAGAAATGATAGAAAATGGTCAACACTAAGTTGACCATTTTCTAACATTTAAACGTATGCGCAAGTCTCATTGTAAGTTATAAGTTCACAATAAATTGCAGGCTATAATAAATATATATAATGTAAGAAATAGGGTCATTACAAATAGGTATATTATTATATACTATACACAGCTGTGACGATTTTTTCGAGCGAAAGACATCAACGCGCTCGAATTAATGATTTTCTATAATATCAGAATATACATCAAAAATTGTTTTATTCATGTTGACCCCTTAGAAGTAATTCATTTTGATATTTTGTATTAATACACACATTTGATTTTACGTAAATTATGACTGGAACAAAGTATGAACTGAATATATATACGAGTAAATATCGTACGTATGAGAACAAAATAACAACCATAGCAAAAACTAGATAATTCAACCACAATGGTATTATTACATGAAGTTGTCAACACGTTAAAAAAATAGTGCAAGCAGGACGACGATATATCCGCAGTTCATGCTGCTTTCGTCATTTCCTCTTTAAATAGAACGGCCGTCATGCGTCACCGACAAAGACAACCCACATTGAAGTGGGGCTGCGTGAATATTTTGTATCTCTTTTACTCGCGTCAGTGTTTACGTAGCTCCGAGGAACGTTTTCTTACAACTGTTCTTAATTTTTTTTTAAATATAGATCGAGTTTGAATTATGTCATTGAACCCCACTTTCAGTTCTGGTATATATACAAGAGTATTTGTAAAAAAAATATGTGAAAAATAGAGTGATAAATATTTAAAAAAATGTTATTTTCATAATTTTTAAAAAACTTCTTAGCTTTGCATATAAATCAACAGAGTTTTAAGCCGTACATCTTAGACATCACTTCCTAATTAGGTTAAATTAGTAACTTCCGAATTTTGAAAATTTGACAAATAGTTTCCGGACAATAACTTCCGGGAGCTCACTTTCATATACTCAATACATTCAATATACTCGAGCAAACCTCGGTGCCGGCACCAATGAAATTGTTAATTTTAATCACTCACTCATAACATTCATATCAACATTTCATTATATATATCAACTTTACATTTAAAAAAAGTAGACACAAGTAGCCGGTGGCCTCTTTTTTTCAGCAGACGAATCGCGAACCTATTATTTCCACTTCACGCTTATTTTGTGTGAGGCCTTGATACTACCTCGCCATCCCATTCGTGCGACAACAGAAGTTGTTGCTTGGCCCTACCACAGAAAAAATCTTAGTACACTTAATGTTCTTAACTGTAAAGAAATTTGCCATACGATAGATTAATAAATAAAATTAAATACTTGTATAATATTCCTACTTATTTTTTTAGTCATAATCTTGTTATATGGCACTAAAGGCATTTCACATTTATGTCAATACGTTAATAGTTCCAATATGCATATTTAACCTGTATATATTGAAATTTAATTTTAATTTTTAATGCTACTCTCTGCACATGTTTGTTTTTTACCTACACATTTTAAGTATTTCGCGATGCTTAAAAATTTAATTACAAGATAAAGTTCTTCACGCTGAATTTGAATATCCAGACGGAAGCCACAGGCGCCTGGCAAGGCGCTGACCTGTGATTCTCACGGTCCGTTGCCATGGCAACCGATACCCGCCACATCAACGCCGATATTGCGCGTAATTTGTAGCCTCGTGGCTGGGTGAGATTTACCGACTTCGAGATCAGCAAGACCCCGCTGCTAGGTTGCGTTTACAATGGAATGGAAATGCGATTGATATCAATAAAAGAATGATTCTTCAAAGTAGGTTCGTTGATAATCGATAATACTTTTTGGATTAACTTTATTGGGAAATGTATTGGTAAACTAATTAAACTCACAATCATAGTGTACACCGCAAGTCAAAATTATCTGGCAAATTTCGAGGAAGAATTATCACGGTTGTCTCTGTCACATCCGTTTATATTTTTTGTTTAATTGCCCTTTCTACGTAGAATAACGGTACTGTATAATAATGATGTAAGGGCTTTTTATATACAAAAATTTCACGTGGACAAACACAATTATTAAGATTCGAACAATTATCTGTAGGTAACAAATAGTTGTCTTGTGTGGGAATCGAAACTGGAGCCATAGCCAATTCCTTAGCAAAAACCATGTTTGTGTTATAATATATAGTATGTTATAATTGTGTAATGTAATATTCTTAAAACTTACTTTTTTCTAAAGTTACAAATCTACAGTGTAAGTCAAAATGACGTCTCGCATTGTTAACGTAAGAAAAATTACCTTACATTGTGTATTGAATTCAAATCTTATTCTGCACTAGGCCTTAGTTAGAAAGAGGAAACAAGAGATTTATTTCTCGAATTGGGTAAAGGTTAAACTTCTCGCTTTTACTAATCTTGTTTAAATATCTTCTAGCGTTCAGCGAAACAAATTCTAACTTGGGTGCTATTAACATTGGCTTTTGTTATAAATAATTTTATATCAATAGCTAGACTAATTAGTTACTCGCGTTCAGCTCATCACTATTATTTTATATAAGAATACACTGATTTTGATAATATTATTTCCCTGATTCTTAGGCAAAGGCGGTGTTTTGGTTATTCAACCCCTCAATCTCCCCTTGAAATATTCTAAATATTACAATAACATTTAATTGCTGGATTATTTAAAATTAGTTCGCAATTTCTCGGACATGTGCATTTTGTTAAAAATCATAATATAATATTGAAATATGTGTACTTTTTTATAATGTTGGTAATTAATTTGTAAGATAACTTTTCAATATGAGTGTCATTTTGTACATATTTTGTAGTTTTATTTTCTTGAACCCTCTCGATACTAAAATCTTCCAACGCCCGCGCCTCGATTGTTATCACCAACCATCATCATATACAGCTGAACTTCATTACGAGAAATACTTCACTGCTGCAAACGTATCATCATCATCATCATTTCAGTCTGTTTGAGTCCACTGCCGAACATATGCCTCCCCCAAAGACTGCCACGAAGCACGATCCTGAGCTACCTGTAAACATATTCAATTTCGTTATACATAATATGTACTACTAAACTAAGACATTAAAAAGATATTGGTATATGAAAATATTGGTGTAATATAGCCTTTGCGCTGTAAGGTAAAAATTCGGAGTCTTACTCAATCGATCAGCATCTGGGGTCCACGTGAAGCGGACAGGTAAAAAAACTAATTTTTACGAAGATTTTGGTAATATTTGAACATGTTATACCTATATTATGGCATATATTATAATTATCTATAGTTAACGATTTAGAGATTTAAAAATTTAATTAACCGGCAGATATGCGCTATTTCTAACCCATTACCCAGTAATAATAATTGAAAGTATTAAAAAGATAAATAAAGCAGTCAAATTTATATTTCTTTAAACGTGGTTTTGGATATTAGATACGTGGATGGCCCCATCTGAATCCGTAACTTGCCTTAAAACGCTGAAGTTAGTCACTAAACGATTCAAACAAATTTAAATGTTTTATTGTGCTAATCTCTGCACTTAAGATTAAACATTAAAACTTGTAGAAAAAGTACGAAAAGATTGTCACCGCTGTGGGAATCGAGCCCACGTCTTCGGCATTCGCGGCCTGGCGCTTTAGCCATTAAGCTAAACTGCTGATTGCCACACTGACGAAAATCTTAACGTCTTTTATCTACATTGTTTTTTAGCATTTGAAGCAATGCTCGGCGCATCTATTGTTATGTCCTGGCTTTATTGAATAAGGCTCTACTCCCGTTGGAAAATTAAGAAGTTTGTTATTTAGAATATTTAAAGAACAGAAAGAAGGCGTTGAATTCATTAAAATTTAAGGGTAAAAACTACCAATAAATTACTCTAATGCATTCGACTGTGACCGCGTAAGTCGAGCGATTCGCGTGCGTTGCATTCCGACAAATTAGACACGAAGGAGATGAAAATAAACTACATTAATTGTACCCACACAGAGCAAGCTCGCAACAGAGCATGTTAGTGTTAAACGTTATTCAATATTAACTTAATATAAATAATAACATACGAGGATGCTAATGCGAAAAATTATTGTATTTGTACTTGTTTGACCGTTTGTATTGTATATTAATTTATCTCTTAATGATTACTACTTTATACTATTAATTCTTCGTTCTATTAAATTTTTTGTTTTAATATTAAAGTATTATGTCACTTTATTATACCTAATAATGGTAGGCTTTGGTCTTATGCGTAATGAAAAAGATGGTCAGTATGCTCGATAATTCCCCAAATAATTTTAAAAAGAAATTGTGCAAGCTTAATCGCCTATTTATCTTGAATTATTTTTCTTTAAAGCCAGTCAATTTTACGAAAAACACTCAATCTGTAGTAAATATTGAATTTTAACCTAAACATCAGTTAATGAATTAGAATTAGTAATTATGTACATGAAGGAAAGGTTTTATAAAATTTCAAATATAGTTTGTTTATTTATTACTTTGAATGAGGTATAATCCTTTACTTTATTACTTTCAACATCTCGTATTTTCAATTTACAAGAAATTCTTGGACATTCCAATACCCAATCGGGCCATAAGAACTTTACTTCCGAAAATTCTTAACATTTCTTTGTCCACACCAAATTGATACGATTCAGTCAAGCCGTGTAGGTATTTATGAACTGGCCATTTAACTAAGCTCTTTTGGTAGCGGCTACTGCTCAAGTTTTATTGCGTCTTGCAAGGCTTTTATAGGCACCTCACAGGTCTATTTACACTGGATCTAATTTTATTCGAAAAGATTGAACGCTCAATCAAAGCCCTTGGACAAAAAACACTGAAATGCTCGGATTACAATAATAAGGCTATTTTATACTCTAAGGAGCCATAGCTTTAAAATGTTACTTGTATATAAGTAATAGTTTGTGAGAATTAAACAGAGACTTATTTTAGTTAAAATTGGTAAGGTCGAATATAATATCACAAAGATAGTCAGAGCTTTGCAGTCAATTACCATTCCATCTAGATTAGTTTAAAATAAAATAAATAGTTTGCTGTAGTGTAATTTTCGCAACGCTCGGAACGTAAGCATGCACGCACAATTCAATCTAATCCATCCATCTGGACAAAGTAATCGATGATATCAAGAAAATACCGCATTATGCGTGGCCTAAGGCACGTGCACACCGGATTGTTTTATACGCCATGAGGAATTACCACGCACGTCGGACGAAGCGCAGTCAAATAAAACATATGAGGACTATAGTGATGCGACAGACACTTTGGGGCGACATAATTATATATGAACACGCTCTACAAAGAATTTATCTTTTTGATTATTTCATATTTTTAATACGACAGATTGAGATTATCTTATGCCTTTCACTGAAAGAAATGGAAGTGCTTTCCTTGAAGAAAGCTGGTCAAGCACCCTACCTAAACTGTCAGTAGTCTGTATACATCGCAATCTGTATCGTATAAATAGAAAAAGTAAATAAGGAGAAGACAAGTTAACTGTAATAACAAATTTAACTTTTATTTGCGGTTACAACAGCACCAATAGCACGTCATGAACTTTTTTAATCTAATATAATTTATTCATACGTTCATACTAGAGGTAAAAATGGCTTACAACAATATTTTACTTTTCAAAACTGATGCAACCGTTTACTTTGTTACGGCCACACAACAGCTTCTGTTGTTGGTCAAACGGACAGGATTGAGCCCAACACGCGCTGGAAGAGTGCCCAGCCTGGACGGAGCAGCGCCGAGAACTATGCGCTATCGTGGGGCACGACCTCTCGCCGCCAGCCGTGGTTCGCGCTATGGTTACGAGAGAGCGAGAGAGCGTGGGGTGCTGTGCTCGCGTGCTGCGAGGACATTATCACCCGGAAGTAGGCTGCGGAGAGAGACAGGGAGGCAACTGCCACACTGGACATCCGCCGCCGGAGACTAGGGCGCAGGCTGCCCTACGCGCGCAACCTTCCCCTGATAGTGAGAACCTGAGCGGCAGGCAGGGGTGTCGGTCCCTCAATATGGGGCTCGCGACGTGTGCGTGCCAATTGCACTGGCACAGCACCATGTAGTAGAGTAGGACTAAAAAGGCCATAGTCGCGCCGGGGTCGCGGAAGATTGCGTCCACGTGTTCCCGTGTCCCCGACCGATGCGACAGAGACAGGTGCAACGTCGGTTGTTTAGTCGGTACCCGTTCTTATTGGAACTCCTACATACCCCTGCCGCTCTCCCGTACAAGTGGCAGGGTATCCCCCCAGTATTATCCATGGAATTTCACCTGGCAGAAGACTGTCGAAAAGTGGAAATATTACACTTCTGTCGGTAACTATACACACCGGGCAAATGCTCGGTGTGTATAGTTACCGAAGCCCAGTCTTTTAAAGGTTCGGAACGCGTCTGCGGCCATACAGGTGGTGAAGATGACCATAGGCGGTGATTGTTCACATTTGGTTACAAATAAAATATTTTTAATAGTCTAATTGTTAGCTACGCAAAAAGCTTTTTGAAGTTGAGAGAGGGCTACCTTACTTTCACCAACCTCAATTACTTGCAAACAAGAAACACTTCTTCCGTTTACGTCTCTCCCTATTGCCGTACTGTGCACTAATTTTTGACAGTCATGTTTTCGAGTAACAGACCCGAATAAAAAAACGGTAT